TGGGAGGAGGGGATGGGATGATCTCTCCAGACCAACACCTCCTCTCACTCCCACCTCAGGAGTCCTGTCCCCTCATGGATTGAAAGGAGGGGCTTGACCCCACTGTCCTGTCCCTGGTGCTCTCTCTGCAGGTGTTTGATCTTTCCCGGTTTGCACCAGGTTCTGCTCGACACAGCCACGCTTTCCTGCCCTTCTCAGGAGGACCAAGGTGCGATTTTCTGTACCGGAGAGAGAGGGTTTTACTGGCTGCACACCCGATGTTTGTGACCTCCTACGTTCATATTGGCGTCTGTAGTTATGCACTTCTATGTCAGTGTGTGGGGAAGGAGGCATGTGTCTCTATGTACAAAAGAAAGGTGACATTTCATGACATGCCCCAGGGACTTTGACTCACTGACTTTCCAAATGGCCAGCCACAACTCAGTGTAAGTGCTGTTCCAAAGTTCAGTGTATTCTGTTGTTTTCCACAGTTTAGGAGAAGGACTTTACAGAATTAGAAATTTTCATGAAAATTAAATTTCAGGTGGTTGCTTTTCTCAGTTATCATTAATTGTAACAGGTGTTTTCTCTCTTCCCACATTCACAGTCCAGCCCAGCACCTTTTCTCCTTAATTCTCCCATCTGCCACTCACTGTCTCAGTGATGTTTGCATGTGTCTGGATTTCCAGCCCCTTCCTTGTCCTAACTGTTCAGCCTATAAATGAAATTTACAGTAACCATTGGAAGAAAGTTTCACACCAATATGTGTCTACTCTATTTTTATAGTCTATCCCAGTAAAATTTGATATAATATTCATATAACCATGACAACTTTTCCAGTCAGAAAAATTCTTTATATGAAGTGGGATCTATAGTCCCAGATCCTACATGGTCTAATGTTGGCAAAAGTATAACATAATGAGGACAATCAACTGCTTTTGAGAGAAAATCTGCTATTCTGTGTACGACACATGCATTTGAAAGCTTCCTGGTGTGTAAAATACAAAGCACACATGAGACAGCTGTTGAGCTAGACGAGTCCCCTCCAGAGTGGCTGCTGTGAAAATCCTCCAATGCTGCTGAAATCATCCTGTGAAACAGTAACTTCCACAAACATTGAAAGTAGTTACTAGAAACAAGCTTTTTCTGAATCCATAATTCTGTGAATTCTTCAAATGTTGAATCAATTTTCACAGAACAGGCTTTAATCAAACTGCTCTTCCAGAAATTGACTCTAGGATTTGGTTTCTCCCAGAACTGGGTCCTTCCTCATAGACACTGGCTGCAGGCTGTAGCTGCCACTAGAGGACAGGAGAGTACTAGGCAGCTCAATTCCTAGGTCAGAACTAATGCTACTTTTATTTTACTCCATTCCATGTTTATTTGTTTTTCAGTTCAATTAACTTCATTCAATTATGAAACTATTTATTAAGCCCACCTCTGTGGGCCAAGTCCTATGCTGGGAGGTGGAAATACAGAGATGAAAGACACTGTCCTTGCCTCCTAGAGTCCACAGTCAAGAAACAAATACCTCTACTAAAGATAAACATCATTCATTCATTCATTCTTTCACTCGCTCATTCACTCACTGAGCAGACTATTGGATGTTCCATATTTCTGGCACTGTCCTGGGCACTGCACGATGAGATGTCCTTGAGTAAAACACTAATGGTTCCTTGGGGGTCTGGGGAGGAAGAGGCAGAGTCAGCAGAGGGGGTGAGGGCAGGCTGTCATTGGACTTAGCCTTGAACTTGCGGCAGGCAGAGTTGGAGGGAGGCATTCTCGGCGATCTCAACACACGTGGAGCTGGACAGGTAAGAGGTGAGTGAGGCAACAGCCCATAGAGGGCTTTGGTGCCAGCTGAGGCATTTGGAATGTCCTAGCAGCATAGGAGGGTCTGAGCTGGGCCGTGGCTTCAATGTAGAGGGAGTGGAGGCAGGGAGACAGGAAAATCCAGGTGAGGAGACTGAGGGATGGTAAGGAGGGACATTTCTGGACTAAATTGGAAGGCTACAGAGGATCGTTGATGGAGGGGACGAGGGGCAGGCAGGAGTCGGGCCCATTAATTGGGAGGCAGATAGTACTTTAGGCTGAGGGTCGCCACTCGTGGCCCTCCAGGAAGCTTCCCTGTCGCCACTCTGACTTCCTAACACAACTCCATCTTGTCTTCTCTCTGAAGATCGGGGTCCCTGTTTTGTCTCCCAAGAGGCTGAGGGCCTGAGAGTGTGGCCCAGCCTGCCCCCTACTGTGCCCTGACCTGGCCTCCACATTGTGAAACCAGAAACTGTGTAAGGAGTGAGCAAATTAATAATTTTTTAGTGATTCACTTGACTTGACTTGTGGCTTAGAGTACTGACCCTCACCTAACAGGATTTCAGGCCTGCTGAGAGCAGAAGTAGGAGTTAGGAGCTAGTCCTGGAGGGAAGTAGGCTTTGTCAGAGGTGAAGGGGAGGGTGTGAACTAAGGGGTAGAGGTGTGTGACTTGTAAGGATGGTATTGGGGCTGGGCCACATACAGGAGAGCCCTGAATGCCCTGTTCCTGGCTCGGGCCCAGTGGGTCAATCCGTGCCCAGCTCACAGCAGAGTTTGAGGCCACTTCTCATTTTGTTTCCCCTCCCTGGCACAGGGACTGCATCGGGAAGCAGTTTGCCATGACCGAGCTGAAGGTGGCCGTGGCCCTGACACTGCTCCGCTTTGAGTTGGCGCCGGATCCCTCCAGAGTCCCTGCTCCCATTCCAAGAATTGTGTTGAAGTCCAAGAATGGGATCTACCTGCGTCTCAGGAAGCTCCTCTAACACTTTTTGGGGACAAGGACAGGTTCAGAGAGACCCTTGCAACCATCCTGTCTTCCTGTCACTCTCTCCTATCCCCTGAGTATCTGTCCACTTCCTGCTTTCTATCTGCCCACTTGGTGATCTAACTGATCTCCTGCCTCCTGCCCATCAGACCATCACCGTTCTCTCTCTCATCCTTCTCCAGGCTCCCTACCTGTTGGTCTGCCTGTCTCTGACCCACCTCCATCTCTGACTGTCACCAAACTCCTCATCATTTGCCTGTCCTCCAGCCTGTCTGTCCTATCCCTGTCTTTCCCTTTCTGCCCGTCTGTCCATCCCTGTGTTAGTTTCCTTTGCTGTTATAATAATTTACCGCAGCCTTAGTGACTTAAGACAACGCAAATTTCTTCTCTTATGGTTCTGGAGTCAGAAGTCTGAAATGGCTTCACTGGACCACAACCGAGGTGTTGGCAGGGCCATCCTACCTCCGGGCCTCTGGGGGACAATCCTTCTCTTTGCCTTTCCAGCATCTAGAGATGCATTCCTTGGCTCGTGGATCTTCCTCCAGATTCAAATCCAGCAGCATCTTCAAAGTCTCTGTGCTCTGTCTTCATCTGGCATTCTGCTTTATGAGGACCTTTGTGATTACACAGGCCCACTCAGATAAAACAGGATGTGGTCACTGGGTCCAGGGATTAGGATGTGGACACCGCTGGGAGCCAGTATTCAGCCTGCTGAGTCCCTGTGTAACTACCATCAGTCTGTACTCCCGATCTCTTCTGTGTGTTAACAGTCTACCCTTTTTTCATTCACACCCCCTCTCCTTCTTTCCCACTCCCTGTGACAAAGTTCACAGTGTCCCATGGAGTGGTGTCATCCCTTGGAAGGAGACGGATGGAAGAGAAGAGAGAGAGAAGGGGAGGGAAGACAGAGGAGACAAGGAAGGTAGATAATATCTGCTCTGTGGTGCCAAGACCCAGCAGGGCCAATCATGTCCCATCACCTCCAAAAGACTCAGGAAGACACTTTGACCTTCCCTCTAACTGCCCAAAGGGATTTAACATAGAAGGCTTGTCCCAAGAAGGAGCTATAACCGTAGGTAACTATAGTATAATATGAACTAGGTGTGGTAGACAGGGAGGAATGTAGCAAAGCCCATTTGACCAAAGTCCTCTCTGTGTCCTATTGTCTCTAGATGGCCCAACAAACATTTGATTATTAAACATTGACTCTTTACATCTTCTGTAAATGCCTCCTTTCCCCTATGAAAGTCCAGACTCCTGTTCCTTTACCTTAATCTAGAATGACATAGGTGTCTTATTTTGCCTGACTCTCTTTGGAATTTTTCGTGCTTATGTGAATTCCCTGTGCCCACATATTAAACTGTTTGATTTTCTCCTGTTAATCTGCCTTATGTCATTTTAATTATTTG